AAGAGGTGAGACAGGAAAATTAGAGATATGGTTCTCGTAATCAAGGTGAGAGATGCCCAACTCATGGATAAGTGTTGTAGTGGCGGAGAGAGAGAGAGATGAAAGAACACACTGATTTTAAAGAAGTAGTAGTAACAAGGCTTAGTGAGGGAACTGGGTGTGGGTGAAGGAGCGTTGGGAAGTCTGAGATGGCATTAGCAGCTTGGGAGACAAGGGACGGTAGCAGAGTTCTTAGTGATGCCAGAGAGAGAAGGAAGTGGAGAGGGATTAGGAGGAAAGATGAGCAGCCCTGTTTTGGAGAGACTAGATTTGAATTGGTAGCAAGACATCTACAAAAGATGTAGTTGTGAGATGTGAGAGTCAATCAATCAATGGCACCATCGCTCTTTACAGATCATGGTGTAGGTCCCGATGATTTATTTGGCAATCATCTATAAAGGACTGCCAAGGGAGATGGGAGTCACCAGGCAGCTGTATCCATAGGCCTTCTTCCCGGCTTATTTTATTCCAACCACTTATGCACCAGTAATTAGCATGTGCTAACAAACGATTACCATAACTGAATGCCAGAGGTGGGTTGTGGTTGCACACCCTATCACATTCAACCTGACTGGGGAACTACTTTTGAAAACTGGCTGATTAGGAGGTGACACGAGCCCTACCACAAGGAAATAAGTAGTGGGAACATTAGCTTAGCACAGTGTTTAACAGCCAGTGTTTAGATAGCTAGGCTGAGCAGCAGTCAGGGTATACTGATATTTATTGATGCAATGATAAAACAAAAAATAAACACAAAGTGCGTGCGTGTGTCCACAATCCCAAACCTGAAGAAGAGCAGTGTGTGGCTCGAAAGCTTGTCTCTCTGATCAACAGAAGTTGGTCCAATGAAAGATATTACCTCCCCCAGCTTGTCTCCCCCTCCACTTAACATTTTGCTTGTCTTCTGAGACTGTAAGGCCTTCAGGACAGGGACTATGTCTGTATATGTTTCTATGGCCCTTAGCACAGTAGGATCATAGAATCATAGAATATCAGGGTTGGAAGGGACCTCAGGAGGTCATCTAGTCCAACCCCCTGCTCAAAACAGGACCAATCCCCAACTAAATCATCCCAGCCAGGGCTTTGTCAAGCCTGACCTTAAAAACCTCTAAGGAAGGAGATTCCAACACTTCCCTAGGTAACCCATTTCAGTGCTTCACCATCCTCCTAGTGAAAAAGTTTTTCCTAATATCCAACCTAAACCTCCCCCACTGCAACTTGAGATCATTACTTCTTGTTCTGTCATCTGCTACCACTGAGAACAGTCTAGATCCATCCTCTTTGGAACCCCCTTTCAGGTAGCCGAAAGCAGCTATCAAATCCCCCCTCATACTTCTCGTCTGCAGACTAAACAATCCCAGTTCCCTCTGCCTCTCCTCATAAGTCATATGTTCCAGCCCCCTAATCATTTTTGTTGCCCTTCACTGGACTCTTTCCAATTTTTCTACATCCTTCTTGTAGTGTGGGGCCCAAAACTGGACAAAATACTCCAGATGAGGCCTCACCAATCTTATATAGAGGGGAATGATCACATCCCTCGATCTGCTGGCAATGCCCCTACTTATACAGCCCAAAATGCCGTTAGTCTTCTTGGCAACAAGGACACATTGTTGACTCGTATCCAGCTTCTCATCCACTGTAACCCCTAGGTCCTTTTCTGCAGAACTGCGACCTAGCCACTCGGTCCCTAGTCTGTAGCAGTGCATGGGATTCTTCCGTCCTAAGTGCAGGACTCTGCACTTGTCCTTGTTGAACCTCATCAGATTTCTTTTGGCCCAATCCTCTAACTTGTCTAGGTCCCTCTATATCCTATCCCTACCCTCCAGCATATCTACCCCTCCTCCCAGTTTAGCGTCATCGGCAAACTTGATGAGGGTGCAGTCCACGCCATCCTCCAGATCATTAATGTAGATATTGAACAAAACCGGCCCCAGGACCGACCCTTGGGGCACTCCGCTTGATACCGGCTGCCAACCAGACATGGAGCCATTGATCACTACCTGTTGAGCCCGACGATCTAGCCAGCTTTCTATCCACCCAACCCATCCCATTTCTATCCACCCTTTCTATCCCAATCCCAACCATCAAAGGGCTTCTTCAAGTGATGTGACATGTGCTATCTATAAGTAGGGTACAATCTGAGGCCCTATACCCTCACACAACACCATATGAGAATGATGGAGCATGGTCACTTCCTCTGCTGTCCTAACCACTGGTCCTAAAGGCTCAGGGTGTTCCCCATGATAAGTAACACCATGTCTGGATAGAAGTGCTCCAGTAGGATACCACTTTAGCATTAAAAATGTTTTGTTTTGTTGTCTTTATCTCGGTGGGACTGAGCCTTGCAGAAGTGGCACTCACAGTAAAGCCAGGGCTGAGTGGAGGTTGCAGCCTCAAGTCCTAGTTAAAAGATAACCCAATTATTTTCTTCTTTTTTTTCCCTTTAGGATCCAGACAGAATTGAGGGCCTGATGAAGAAGTCAGTGATGGTAGACTCTTTCCTGGGCAGTCACCTCCGGCCGCATACATGGCAGGGGCTGTACAGGCACCTGGGGCGATGGAAGGAGACAAGTGGCCCCCAGAGTGCCATGGCAGGATAAATTGGGGTTATTTTTTTTATTTGGTAGGGTGAGTTTGAGAGATAATCCCTGTACCGTGCACACAGCCAAAACTGCACATCCATTATTTGGATGTGCTCTAGTCACAGATTGGGCCATACTGACCCAGCTGTGGTCTGTCAAGCAGGGGCGTTTGAGCTGGATTTCCCGTATTATAAAAGAGATGGGGTGGCTGATGGAGTGTTCTCTGTGAGGGCTCTGAGACTCTGGAACCCGCTCCCCCACTCAGTCCATAACAGCTCAAATTTCGTGACTTTCTGGGCACACTGCAAATGACATCTGTTTGATAGGGTCTTTAAAGAAAGCCGATGGTATACCTCCTAAATGAAAGGAGGTGGCTAGCTGGCAGGCAGAGTTCCTGTGGAACTCATTTTAATACTTTTAAGACTTAATTTAATTGTATTTTTTAAATTACTAATTATGTTAGGGTCCTTAGAGCCTTGAATAAGTATATTTATTACTTTAAATCTAAATTAATTAATAAATAATCAGGCCTGGTTTTCAGAGTGCCTGTGCACATCCATAGGGCTTTTGAAAAAACAGATATTGTTCTGGGGATTCAAAAAGAACAGGTACAAGGGATTATCTGAACATTTTAAACACGCAAGAGATGTTGAAGCACAAATCCCACTGACAGGCAATAGGCACCGTGCTCCTAAATCCCTTGGGCATGTTTGGAAAAAATCTGTCCCTCAGCTCTTCACCATGTCACAAAAGAAAAAGAAAGACAGATTAGAATAGTAAGATAAAGTTATAATTTTCTAACTTCGTTCAATTTTTTTTTTTTTTTACTATTAGCTCCTTCCATCTGAGGATCACAAAAGAGATTTACAAGCATTAATGAATAAAGTTTCACAACACATCTGTGCAGTAGGGAAGTACTGACCAAGATTAGGGCCAACATTTTCAAGATGTTGCTAGTTTTGGGCACCTCAATATGAAAACACATATGAGCCCAATTTCCAGAGGTACTGAATACCAGAAGCACCTAGTGGCTTCCTAATCTGGCCATCCAAAGTTAGGGAGCAATTATAAAATGTTTGGTTCTTGACACCCAGTTTTATGTTTAGATATTGATAAAAGTAAAAACTGAACTTAATGATAGTTAACAAAAGCAACATGATTTTTCCCTACATGGACTCTCCAACACATGATACCCATTGCCCCACAACCAGGCAAATACAGTAGCAATTTCCATTTGATAGTGCAGTAGTAAAAATTTCAAGCTATGCAGAGATTCAGACGAGGTATCAAAGGTCAGAACTACATGCATTCCCTCTGGCATTGTAATAGAATGTGTGTCATACCAGCCCAGCAGGTCACCATTTTAACTATACAAATAGTAAGTAATAAAAACATACCTCCTCCATCGGCCTCCTTGATATCATCTTCTATTGCTTCATCAATTGCCTCATCAAATTCATCAAATCTAAAAATAGTATCTTTTATTTACTACTTTGAAACAGAGCACAGTTCAGATATATTTTGAAGTCATGTTTCAAAATCTAAAATAGCTGTAAGAATTCAGAGTGCTTCAGACATTCCAAAATTGAGGGAAAGTGGTAAAATAATCAGAAAGACATCATACATATTCATAGTGTACTAGACAGATGCTCAATGTTTTTTTTTAAATATGTAGAGCATTTCCAGCTTCTAGCAGGATGGATATATATTACTACCTGGGCTGACTTACTAATAATTTAGATAAATTCTCAAAAACACTTCCTTCTTACAGGGTATGCTACTGAATTCAAAAAACACAATGTGAATATTTTGTTTTATAAGTATTTCAGCAAAAATTTTCACAAGAAATAGTTGCTTATTGATTATGCCAAACTTTTTTTTTTTTTAATTTAGATGGCATGTGCATCTTCGTTTTTCAGGACAGCCTTCTCAGATGTGTCTATACAAGTCTCATGTTAAGTAGTCAAGTTGTCTGAATTTTGATTGCTAGTGTGTGTGTTTCATATTGTGCTACTTCTGCTCTCTAAACTTCTAAATTGGGTAGTTTACCTACATTTTCATAATATATGCTTTACAGAATTCTTCATTTGACAGAACATAAGAACGGCCATATTTGGTCAGAACAATGGTCCATCTAGCTCAGTATCCTGTGTTCCGACAGTGGCCAATGCCAGGTGCTTCAGAGAGAATGATCAGAACAGGCAATTATTGAGTGATCCATCCCGCTGTACACGCCCAGTTTACGGCAGTCAGAGGCTAGGGACACAGAGAGCATGGGATTGCATCCCTGACTATCTTGGTTAATAGCCATTGATGTATCTATCCTTCAAGAGCTTATATAGTTTTGGCCTTCACAACATCCCCTACAACTAGAACCACAGGTTGACTGTGTGATGTGTGAAGTACTTCCTTTTTTTTTTGGTTTAAACCTCCTGCCTATTAATTTCATTGGGTGACCCCTCCTTCTTGGTTACGTGAAGCAGTAAATAACACTTCCTTATACACTTTCTCCACACCAGTCATGATTTTATAGACCTCTATCATATCCCCCTTAGTTGTCTCTTTTCTAAACTGAACAGTCCCCAGTCTTTTTAATCTCTCCTCATATGGAAGCTGTTCCATACCCCTAATGATTTTTGTTGCCCTTCTCTGTACCTTTCCAATTCCAGTATATCTTTTTTTATATGGGGCAACCAGAACTACATGCAGGATTCAAAGTCTGGGCGTACCATGCATTTATATAGTGGCATTATGATATTTTCTCTCTTATTATCTACCCCTTTCCTCATGTGTCCTAACATTATTAGTTTTTTTGACTGCTGCTGCACATTCAGAGGATGTTTTCAGAGAACTATCCACAATGACTCTTTCTGTAGTGGTAACAGCTAATTTAGATCACATTATTTCGTATGTATAGATGGGATTTCTAATATGCATTACTTTGTATTTTTCAACATGGAATTTCATCTGTCATTTGGTTGCCCAATCATCCAGTTCTGTGAGATCTATTTGTAACTCTTCACAGTCAGTTTCGGATGTAACTATCTTGAGTAGTTTTGTATCATCTGCAAATTTTGCCACATCCTTGTTTACCCTTTTTTCCAGATCATTTATGAATATGGTGAACAGTACTGGTCCCAATACAGATCCTTCAGGAACACCACTATTTACCTCTCTCCATTCTGAAAACTTCCCATTTATTCCTACCCTTTGTTTCCTGTCTTTTAACCAATTACTGATCCATGAAATCTTATCCCATGACTGCTTACTTTGCTTAAGACCCTTTGGTGAGGGACCTTGTCAAAGGCTTTTTGAAAATCCAAGTATATTATATCCACTGGATCACCCCTGTCCATGTTTGCTGACCCCCTCAAGAATTCTAACAGATTGATGAGGCATGATTTCACTTTACAAAAACCACGTTGACTCTTCCCCAACAAATCGTGTCCATCTATGTGTCTGATAATTTTGTTCTTTACTAGAGTTTCAACCAATTTGCCTGCTACTGAAGTTAGACTTACCAGCCTGTAATTGCCAGGATCACCTCTGCAGCCTTTTTAAAAAATTGGTGTCACATTAGCTATCCTCCAGTCATCTGGTACAGAAAATGATGTAAGTGATAGGTTACATACCACACTTAGTGGTTCTATAATTCCATATACGAGTTCCTTTAGAACTCGAGTGAATACTATCTGGTCCTGATGACTTATTTACTATTTAATTTATCAATTTGTTCCACAACCTCCTCTCTATTGATACCTCAATCTGGGACATTTGCTCAGATCTGTCACCTAAAAAGAATGACTCAGGTGTGGGAATCTCCCTCACATCCTCTGCAGTGAAGACTGGTACAAAGAATTCATTTAGCTTCTCCATGACAATCTTATCATCCTTGAGTGCGCCTTTAGCATCTCAGTTGTCCAATGGCCCACTGATTGTTTGGCAGGCTTTCTGCTTCTGATGTACTTTAAAAAAAAGTTGTTGTTACTTTTTGAGTCTTGCTCTTCACATTCTTTTTTGACCTGCCTAATTATATTTTCACACTTGACTTGCCAGAGTTTGTTTTTTCTATTTTCCTCAGTAGGATTTAACTTCCAATTTTTAAAGGATGCCTTTTTGCCTTTAGCTACTTTACCCTAACTACCTTAAACATGCTGGCACTTTTTTGGTCCTTTATGTTTTTTAATTTGAGCCTCTCTTACAGTGAGTTTAAAAAGTTTCCATGCAACTTGCAGGCATTTCACTTTTGTGACTATACCTTTTAATTTCTGTTTACCTAGCTTCCTCATTTGCGTAGCTCCTATTTCTGAAGTTAAATGCTACTGTGGTGGACTTCTTTGGTATTTTCCCACCCGGACAAGGGTGTTAAATTTAATTATATTATGTTCGCTATTATTTACAGGTTGAACTATGCTGTAAAGCAAACTGGAAGGACAAAAGTAAAAGTATTCTTTTTTCATATTTTGTAATTTTGCTATAGGAGCCTTTACAATTTTGAATGTGACTTTGTACATGGAGAAAGCAATTTAAAGGCAACCTGCAAATAGAAGAAAAAAGGGTCTGTTCCCTCTTTGGTTTGATGTACAAAAGAAGACAGGAGGGTTTTTGTTTAAAAAGATATTATGTTTTGTTTCTTCAGTTGGAAATTCAGGTCTTGTCTACGTTGGTTTCCCTGGAAGACACTATGGATGAGAAAAAAGCTAGTAGGCCTATGACATCAGATACAAGGAAATGAAATTGGATTAATTGTCTAGAGAAGTAAATTTTATTCAGACAGATAAAATTCTACTTTTTTTTGTTTTTCCACATATCTTTTTTAATTTAAATGCTTAACAGCTGGAGAAAACCTCTTTTAATAAAGGTTCAGCCCTTAACTGAATGAGCGAGAGAGATCCTCATTCTGTACCTTACATGCAAAACAGGGAAAACTATTCCTAATATTTCTGATATTTCTATGAGTGAAAACCACCAGGCTTTCTTCATAACAAAAGATTTCTGGCCTTCTTTGTACATTATAAAGAAGCAAATTCTCACATTTGCATGTCACCTTTAAAGTGCATTTATGGTAAAATAAGCAACTCTGAAACGACACCTTTGCGAGGTTTATTCTAAGGTACTTCCAAACAAGTTTATTTTCTTCTCACAAAAATCTTTTCGCTTCATTTTGTCTTTGGAATAATTAAGCTATTCTTTCCATTCCACATGTCACTACTAATAACTAATTTTGGAATCAAGTGCTAGCTGACAATTGTCTTTCCATATATGAGGCATAACAGATGACAGCTGGCTCTTCTGCAGTTTTATTAGTTCAGTAGTGTTGATTTTGTATTAACCTGTTCATCAATAAGTGATGCCGATGACTCCAAAGACACAAAGAAATCAGGTATCTGAACAGAACTAACATTTTATAGATTCATTTGTGAGCAAAATGAGAGTTTAGGGTTTATTTCCCCTCACTGAAGGAGGGGCTACACAGTTCTCATTACCACAACCTAGACTTCCATTGTATATGTGTGAATTTGAAGTCGGGTACAGACAATACACACACAAATACATTCACAAACTCAAAGACATCTATGATGTACTGTGCAAGAGATACTTGTCTATCATTTAAGATAGCAAGACTGAGTATCAAATGTAATACTGTATGAAACAAATTATTTCCATGTAAAAATCACTAGCCCCACAGGATTTTATAAACCCATTGCAGTACTGTCAAAATACCCTACAGGCAAAAACATTTTCCCCTGGGTCAATGACTGCCTCAACTGTCAGGAACATGACAGAAATCTATAAAAACCTGCCCTTAGCATCATGCCTCTTACAAGTGATATTGAATTTTGTATACCATCAGTGACATTTTCCTCAGTGTGGCATCTGGTGTTAACTAAGGGAGGTTACTCCTGAGGGTATTCTGCACCAAAAAATTTAAAAATTCTGCACACAATATTTTAGAATTCTGCAAAATTCTGCAAATTTTTTTTGTCAAATGTGGAGGCTCCAGCATGGCATTGGGAGAACAAGCCACTAGCTGCACAAAGGTGGGAGATCACTGTGCAGCTCCGCCCCGGGACACAGATTCAGCAGTGAGGCTGCACCCAATCCTAACACAGCGCAAGGACCAGGCCTGCCCCAGAAACACCCCAGAGCCCTGCCCCTCCGTGCCAGGTGTACCAGGTGTGGTCAGGCAGGCTCAGCAAGGCAGAATCCAAGTGTGGAGGGGCTTAATGTGGGGGGATCCAGGTGTAGGTTTAGAGGGTTCTGTGTGGGACAATCTGGGTGTAAGCAGCTCAGAGGTGGATCTGGCGGCACAGGGGCTTGTTGGAGGGTTCTGGGTGCAATGGTAATAGGACTCTGCAGGGGGGTTCAAGTGAAGGTGGTTGGGGCTCGGGGGGGTGGGGTCGATAGAGCTCGGAAGGGGTCTGAGTGTGGGGGGCTCAGCGGGGAGGTCCAGATGCTGGGGGAGTGGGGTGGGGATCCAGGTGCAGCTGGTTGGGGCTCGGTAGGGTGGAGATCTGGGTGCGGATGGTTTGTTGAGGTGGTCCAGAGGCTTGTCAGGGGGGGTTCAGGGTATGGGGGGATGGTGAGGCTTGGCAGGAGAGTCTGGAGCATGAGAGTGTCTGGATGCCCAGGGGTTGGGTGGATGGGGGATCAGCTCCCCGTACAGTGATCCCTCCCCCTGCAGATGAGGAGCAGGAAGTGTGGGGGAGTTTGCAGAGCTTCCTACAGCCAGCAAAGAAATCTGGGGGTGGGTCTGACACGGCCCCGAATGCTGTACAGGGGAAGAGGAAGTCTTGTCCTCCCCAGCCTTGCCGGGACTAGCAGCTGAGCCTGGCGTAGGGTAAGAACCACCAGCCAGGTCTTCCCCAGTCCCACCTGCTGCCACACAGTGATTTATCTCTCTGCTGGGTGCCCTGGTTACCCAAAACATACTTCTGGGGAGGGTCACATGATCGCTCTTGTGGCTTCCCTTTGCTTCCCCATCAGAAAGTCATTTTTCTGAAGGGAAGCAAAGAAATCTGAGGGGGACAAATTCTGTGCATGTGCAGAATTCCCCCAGGAGTAGGAGGTACCAAAAAATATCTACAGTTAATTAAGAGAAAATTCCTGAGTGCTCAATGAACATCACGCTGGCAAATTCATCATGTTATACTAATGCCCTATCACTCACTGAGAGGAGAGCCAAATTAGTTATTGGCTTTAACATTGTTGTTGCCAGCAGTGTTTTAAACAGTTTCCTTGTGGACCACGGGGACATTGATCACTTAAAAACAGTACGAGCTATGCTGTACTACAGACTACTTCAGTAAGTAATCTACAGCACAGTTCTAGAACAACCTGGGGGTGAGGGGGAGGGGAAATCTTATGAACCTGTTAGCAATATCTGGAAACACTGGTGACATGACTTTTGTTTCCAGCTATTCTGCAGAGGTAAAGTTCATTTTTCTCACTTTGTCTCTTGTGATAAGGTTTTCATTTGTACATTCCTTCAGATATTTACAGAGGAAAGGGGCAATAGGAAAAGAGGAATAGGAATGCAAAGCTTTCAGATATTTATATTAGTTGGTCCTCCATTAGATGGGAGAACAGATGCATTGGCCTGCATTAGTATTTTGTATATACTGCAATAAGAATAAAGTAATTTCTAAGATGGCTCTATTTCCCATATCACTTGGCTAAACACCGTGTATCTGCTCTTACATGTTAGTCATCTCAAGTGGCACCTTTGCTCTATGCTTGATAATCATGTGCAGTATTCAAAAGTAAGACTGAAGACACTATAATTTGATCAGTTGGCTAACCATAAAAGTACCCTCTCTAAGAAGCAGGTGAATGGATGGACAGAGGAAATGGCAATATATTATTAATATTCTCCAGTTGGAGAACAAGCTGCCTACCTGTAACTTATGCATTTCCGTGTTCTAGTAGACCTCCTTTCAAGCCGTTTTGATTTTGACTTTTTGGAATCTTTCTTTTTTTCTTCCTGACTTTCTGGTATTTCTGGCTCCTGTTGAAGTATGACAACAAGTGTTAAATATGCTGGAGAAGACATCAGATAGGTTTGTCTCCCCTCTCAAGATTCACGAGGACTGAGCTGGAATTGTCTATTTTCATGTCAAACAGGTAAGTGGTGTGTGCAAAACATTTCAAGTTCCCAAGTGGCTGACTTATATACAGGTACCTAGTTCACAGGTACCCAGTTCTCTTTGTGGTACTATACATAACAAAGGCAAGATTTACTTGCAACAGAATCCCATAAGTATCTGGATTGAGGATGTAGATTACAGTAACAGTAGTGATATTATGCTTCTAGTTGAGGTGACACTTTCAGGCCTTGTCCATGCTACAGTTGAACAAGATCATTGCCAACAAGTGTTTGCAGCCATTGTAAACTGGGATTTTTTCTGTGTGTACCATATTGATCACCTCCTCTAGACAGCTGACAGTTCTGGAGAAAAAGATCCATATTATGTCCCCACTCGTTGCATACCTTTTTATGGTACAGTTTCAGTCCCACTCTGGACAGGGCTTTAATTCTATGCCATTATTTCCAGAGCCTTAGTTTTCAATTAAAATTGACCTTTGGGATGAATTTTTTGTTCTTATCAAGAGGTGTGGTGGTGATTTGTTTTTTGGGGAGAAAGAGGCTTGTGGTGTTTTGTTTTTTTAAGTTTGGTAACATCCCATTGAGCCATTTCTCAGTTAACCAAGTGTGGAGAGAGAAAATTTGTTTTAGCATAATGAGTTAGAGTGGAAAAGTCTACCTGACATTTATTGTTTGAACAAGTTTAAATGTAAAAGCTCATTTACTGGGCCTGGATTAAATCATCTGTTAGGAAGGCACAAGAAAAAAATCACTTTGAAATGAGTTTATGAGGGAAAAAGCACAAGCTCTGAAGGAGCAAAACATTTTTCTCCCATTCTGAAAAAAAAAGGGGGGGTGGGTGGGAAGGTCAATAAATTTTTGCTACAACATTCTGGCTGAAATCTTGCAGACACAAAAGCAAAGCAATGCAAAGAATTATGGCTCCTTCGGCAATTGTTATTCTCAATGTACACTTGTATTAAGACAAACAATTAATACAACATCCAGTATCAGAAGCTCCTTCCTATAGTAGGAGAGAAGTTATGGATGCTATGGGCACCGTAACTTTGAATTTTCTGACTTTTGTGAATATAAAAGCCAAAATCAAAACACAGTTATTGTAGGCTTTTTGCAGAGAAAGTGAACTCTGGACAGCAACTGGCTTATTTCAGGAAGTCCCAATATGTCAAATTACATTGGCAGCAAAAATGAAGAACTGCTCATTTAACAGTGTCATTTTAAAAAGAGGAGAACAAAATTTCTTTGGGGGTGCCTAACTGACTTTCCCTATCAATTATCAGGAAAGTGATCATCAGAATTGAAAAAGGTAAATAATGTCTTAATTGCCTGTGAAGTATTTTACTTAGATCTATTCATAAAGCTTAAGCTTTTAAAATTTGAACAGGTTCTTGATCCCAAAGTAAAGCAACAGCAATTAATATCCTTGCCTAATTCTTACACTCTCACCAGCTAAAATGTGAGCCACTGAATTAATTCTCATCTACCAGTTAATTAATGTTTTGCCTTGAAAGAGCATTTGCCACTCCTAACACTTGGGTGTCCTGTTCCCTGTGACCACATAGGGACTGCTGAGTAATGATGCAGAGTAGGCAATATCTTTGTGAAGCCACTCTTTGGAGCAGTCCAGAAATGATTTTTTCATCAAGCTAGATATACTAAAAGGACTTAAATTAGTTTCATTATCAACACACAAAACAGCAAATTACAACATACAGAGCCGTAAACTGTATTTAGGCCCTGATTTCAGGCCTAAATATGCTTAAGTTCTTAAGAACTTAAACATATGCTTAACACAATAGGTTCAAAATTTTACCAAATGAAACTACTAAACAATGTTGACAGTTTCCTTTTAAAAATGATGCAAATCTTATGTTAGTATCTTTTCTTTTTTTTAAACAGACTGAATTCACTTATTGCAGTAAACACATTTACGAAATGAAAGAACAATAGAACAAAGCTGAGTCAACTTACTTGTGGTGGGATGATGTTCTCAATACTGATACCCACATACACCAATCGCTCTTTCCTTGGGAGAGAAAGAAAATTAAAAATAGTTCACAAGGAGCCTGTTTGTTAAGATGGTACAGATTTAAAACAATGATCTAATCAGTATCATTCAAAACTGTTCATGCAGTTCCGTAGAAGCAGCCTTATGCGTTGTTTCACTACAAAATACAAGTTTTCAGACCTTGATTAAAGTTAGTAGGTATTATTTCCTAAGTCTTGAAGGATCACAATTTCCTTTACATGTGAAACTGGTGTTCAAACAACTGCAAATGTCTGAAGGGAACAGACACCAAGGAAGGAGAGGAATGAGTTACTGTGGTATAAGGGAGGGTAACTAGTATAACAGATCAAAATTTAGAAAATAAAGAAACTGTTGAATATCTAGAAAAACAGAGCCGTTAGGCTGTGGAAGAGTCTCCCAAGGAAAGCCACATCTCTTGAGGAATTTAAACGTAGGCCGGACAATATAATACGCTAAGAAATATACTGTAGAGAGCAATTATATGCTGGCAGGGGATGGACTAGATGTAACCTAATAGCTCTTCTTCATCTCCACACTACAGTATTCCATGAAGCATTGCTACAATAGAACCTCAGAGTTATGAACACCAGAGTTACGAACTGACTGATCAACCACACACCACATTTGAAACTGGAAGTGAGCAATCAGGCAGCAGCAGAGACCAAAAAAAAAAAAGCAATTACAGTAAAGTACTGCGTTAAACGTAAACTACTAACAAAATAAAGGGAAGGTTTAAAAAAAGATTTGACAAGGTCAGGAAACTGTTTCTGTGCTTGTTTCATTTAAATTAAGATGGTTAAAAGCAGCATTTTTCTTCTGCATAGCTGCAAAGCTGTATTAAGTCAATGTTCAGTTGTAAACTTTTGAAAGAACAATAACATTTTGTTCAGAGTGACGAACATTTCAGAGTTACGAACAACCTCCATTCCCGATTCATACTGTACTGTTAAAACAGAAAGCAAGAATTAAGGCCAAAGTGCTAGACTTATGTGTTTTTATGAGCTGAAACAGATCCTGGACGGCTGTACTGTCAATCAGAACCAGTTTTTAAAGTTAGCAGTAAGCAACTGCATGTGCAAATCACATTTGCATGCACTGTCTATGCACCTAACTGTTCACACATAAGCACAAATACCTGATATGCATATTAACTTTATATTTGCATGTGTTAGTTTGGAGCACATATATATACACATGTACACAGTTGCAAGCATCTATCTATCTATGAAAATATGTTTCCCAATGTTTGCATTTGTCTGGTAGCAGATCAAGATTTTCAAATATTCTTATGACTGGACATCTAAATAAGATTTCCTTTTCTCAACATCCTTCTAATGAACTGATTGCAGAAAAAGAGTATGTCCAATCTTTTTCTTAAGTAAAAGCAGCAAATACTGTTTTTAAAAGAAAGCTGACAAAACAGTAAAGTGGATTCTGGATAGTTCTCCTATAGCTGTAGTAACGAGGCCACATGCTGCCAAAATTTTATATTACTGTAGGATAACACCTGCACTGACATTTTTGGCTTTATTTGAAAGTAAAGTACTTACTTTTCTATTCCAGTACCAGTTCCCTAACCTTATAAATCAAAAAGAAACTCTCTCTCCCACTGAGTGCTATGAGATCTGGGTGGATGGAGAGAAAATTGCTTCATCATTTGTCTAGCAGATTTAAACTAAGGGAAATGCTTGAAAAATAATCTCTTGATGCAAGAGAAGAAGCTGCTAAAGGGGAGAACACAGATGTAAAAGCTTTAATAATTATCAAATTTTCTTCTGTACTGGGATTCATTGCCTCTTCCACTTATTTCTATGAAGCAAAAAAATCAAGTACAACAAGGGAATGAAGAGTAAAATTCAACCAGGTTTTACTAGAGAGGGTCTCAAGTACTGATCCTAATTCTGACAGTCAGGAACCCAACAGATTGTGTAGGAAATTAGGGGATAAAAAAACAGCATTAAGGATGGAGCCTGCAATGTTGTAGCAAAGGTCTTATATTAAACAGGCAGATGAAATAGTGTGTACCTTCCTTACCAAGGAGGAACAAATGAAAGCTCAACATTTAAACTAGCAGTTCTCAAACTGCCTGCCATGGAGATGCACTGGCTTTCCTTATCTCTAACTGTTAAACTGCATTAAAAGAACCTACATATACATTATCTCGTACTATTATTTTTCAGAGGGGTAGCCGTGTGTTAGTCTGTATCTGTAAATACAACGAGGAGTCCTTGTGGCACCTTAGAGACTAACAAATGTATTTCAGCCTAAGCTTTCGTGGGATATAACCCACTTCATCAGATGCATGGAGTGGAAAATACAGCAAGCAGGTATAAATTAATTCCAATTCTGCAGTTTCTCATTGATGACAACTTCATCATCTGGACCCATGGAAAGGAGGCCCTTGAGGAATTCCACCTGGATTTCAACAATTTCCACCCCACCATCAACCTCAGCCTGGACGAGTCCACGCAAGAGATCCACTTCCTGACACTACCGTATAAATAAGCAATGGTCACATAAACACCACCCTATACTGGAAACCTACTGACCACTATACTTACCTACATGCCTCCAGCTTCCATCCAGACCCCATCACACGATCCACTGTCTACAGCCAAACCTTCAGATACAACCGCATTTGCTCCAATCCCTCAGACAGAGACAAACACCTACAAAAAAAGTAACAACGCCACTAGCCATCACCTATTGCCCCCTACTAAAACCTCTCCAGCGCAACATCAAGGATCTACAACCTATCCTGAAGGACGATCCCTCACTTTCACAGACCTTGGGAGACAGGCCAGTCCTCGCTTACAGACAGCCCCCCAACTTGAAGCAAATACTCACCAGCAACTATGCACCACACAACAAAAACACTAACCCAGGAACCAACCCCTGCAACAAACCCTGTTGCCAACTCTGTCCACATATCTATTCAAAGGACACCATCATAGGACCCAACCACATCAGCCACACCATCAAGGGCTCATTCACCTGCACATCTACCAATGTGATATATGCCATCATGTACCAGCAATGCCTCTCTGCCATGTACATTTGCCAAACCGGACAATCTCTATGCAAAAGAATAAATGAACACAAATCAGACATCAAGAATTGTAACATTCAAAAACCCATAAGAGAGGACTTCAATCTCCCTGGACACTTAATAACAGACTTCAAAGTCTCCATACTTCAACAAAAAAAACTTCAAAAACGAGAAACTGCAGAACTGGAATTAATTTGCAACCTTGACACTATCAAATTAGGCCTGAATAAAGACTGGGAGTGGCTGGGTCACTGCAAAAAATAATTTTCCCTCTGTTGATATTTACCCCTTCTTGTCAACTGTTGGGAATGGGCCACATCCACCCTAACTGAATTGGCCTCGTTAGCACTGACCCCCCCCACTTGGTAGGCAACTCCTATCTTTTCATGTGCTGTATATTTATACCCCCTTACTGTATTTTCCACTCCATGCATCTGATGAAGTGGGTTATAGCCCACGAAAGCTTATGCCCAAATAAATTTGTTAGTCTCTAAAGTGCCAAAAGGACTCCTTGTTGTTTTTATTATTTTTCTGTGTAACTAACTGCCGCAGTTACCACAGGGATGATATAATATTACGAATGAGAGGAGACAATCCATGAGACTGGGCATGGGTTAAGAGGTGACCAGGAACTGGAAAGTAGTCCAAGGAGACACTATCAAAAGATATGGTGCACCTTCTGACAAGGTTTGAGAACCCCTGATTTAAATGCAAAACAGTATCAGCAAAATCTTCAGTGGCCTTTGCTTCCATCTAGTGGCAGGACTTGTTTATAAACGTTAGTAGGTGTATAAATGAAAAACCTGAAATTCAGTAAGCTGGAGTAGAAGGAGAAAGATTTTGACCCAAGTCTACATTTTTGTCACAACTGTTATTGCCACCACAGAGTCAATGATTTTCATTAAAAATAAGTTAGCCATAACCTGCCATTTTGGGGATGTGTATGGATGTGTTGCTGAATAGCTAAACCAATTTCAATGAGAACCTTGAATGTTATCAAGTTAAACCCTGGGCTGCATGGGAAATAATCAAAACTAGGAGACTTAGCAGTGTGACTGTAGTGACACAAAGGATCAGACCATTGTACTCTTAGTGAGAGCTTTAATTCCTTCAGGGGGTTCTTTTTCCACCAAAGGAAAAGACTAAAAAACATGAAGAGCTAACATAGGTTTACAAAATTGAGCTCTGGTACAGCAAATAGTGTCTTAACACCTGTCTGCTCTTGTGCCCCAAATAACCTTTATTTTCCCATTTTAGCTAAGAACTGTACACGTACTGTGATAAAAACCAGGACCCTGGACTTTTTCCAACACCACTGTATCAGGATTTCGCCCCTCTTCACCATGATTACCCTGTAACATACCACAATAAAGCAGCACTGGACTCCTGCCAGATTAGAAAATTGTGCCATCAAGTTTACTGCCCTGCCTCTCCCACCAATAGAGATCAGATGCTTCAAAAAAGCAGCAAAAATCGAATGTAGAAGAGGAAACTAGACTATTTTGGCTGGAGGATCAGACTGTTGAATGTTTGTTCTTATAGTAATTTTCACCATATAAAACAGAAGTAACATTTGAACAGCATGCTGTTCTGTAAAAATTACAAAACCAACAATAATGCAACACTCAGGCTGCAAATTTAAAAAGCAAGATAGACTGACTGGTGATGAAGACGACAAGTCTGATAGCATTAGTAAAGTGTGTGCTACTTGAACATTTAGGAATGGAAAAATACTATACATGAGCTATGTGGAAGAGTTAACATTGCTAGGAGGTACCTTAACTTTTGTATTTCCCACCTTATAAAGTTTTCAACTGTTAATTTTGCATTAATATAACTTTAATACAAAACCCATTTTATAAAAACAGACAAAACAGAAAGCCATGGCTCTGACTTGAACCACATACAATATCGTAAACAAAAAGAGAATCAAAATTTCTTTACTATGCATGTGTTAAAGTTAATTTTTAAAGGCACACAATTAATGTTTTAAGAAATACTGCGCCTCTCCCAACTGTGGATTGCTACTCACAAACCTGTTTCAGATATCTGTGCTGTGAACTGTGGGACTGCTATGCACAATGCACTGTTACTGCAACAGTTGGAAGAAATTCTGTTTGTGGACACACAGTGTTGATTTACACTATCCAGGATGACTGCTAGGATGGACACAGAGCTACATCTCAAGTTACAACTTGAGACCACTGTAACATGCAATAGTGTGATCCTGTAGTGTAGATGAAGTTTCAGACTAATCTAGGTGAAAAAGGCAACAGAAGTCTGTAAGACACATTACATTAAAAACTTCTGTAGCCACGTCAGGTGATTCAGAACTTGCCTACACTAGGAAATTTACACATTGCTGACTGTCTTAGCAAAGGGTGCAGATGAACCAGTGCTGAAAATTATTTAACTGCAACTGTAGGCAGGACCAAACCATGTTCAGAAGCCATGACTGAACCTTAGTAAACACCATCCCCTCATCTTTAACTACTGGACTTCTGTTTTACCCTCTTGTAAGCATCTCCAGATTTGCTGCCAGCAGTAAACTCCCTGATTAATAGGAAGTTCATGGGTATTAATCAAAAACAAACTTATCAGCTCAAGGTCTCATTAACATACTTATCCAGGTCCATTTAACGCTTGATCAATTACTTCTGCCTCTTTGCCTAGCAACTCACTGTGAGCAGTTTGTGAACACAACCAACTAGGTTTCAGTACCTTCGCTCTGCCCGCTCCTTCTTTTTCAAGACAACATCCAGATCTTGCAATTGTTCTTCTAACTTCTCACAGAGTAATTTCTGAGGGGATAATACACAGTATCAGTTTCTTGCATAAGCAAATACCTTCATTAATCAGTTTATTCAGACACTTAATGCACTGTTTTCACATTTGCCTTAGTGATCTCTGGAATAGGGATAAGTGTCTACACGTAGAATACTTAAAACTAAATTCCTAGTTTTCTCTGCATTTCCCTGTATATAGCCTAAGATTATTATGTTAATTTAATCTCTGCCAGAGACTTTAGTGGTGTAGCAACACAATATTACTTCTGTTGGAATACCCACTCGGCAAGAACATGGCATGTAGTGAAGGTTCAGTCTTCTAAATTTAAGGTACACTTTAGCACAAATTTCAACACATTTTGCTAGAGAGATAAACCCTTCCGGTGAGAGGTATCTATTGTAGAAAGCAGTCTGCCCAGTGCATGTATTAAAGATGAGTGTTTAAAATAAACATACTTCTAAATGATTCCCTGTTTTTTTATTTTAAAATCTGTATAGTTAGCAGAAAGGTAACTGGGAGGTAGTTTGTATTTTATTTTATTTATATACATACACACATAGTGCGTTTTAGTCCTCTTTCCCACACTTCATTTTTGGTTTAACTTTTTAGATTGTAAACTTTCATTTTTATTATTTCATTGGAAAAACACATAGCACTAAGTTTCCATTTATTGATTACTACTGTGGTGCTTTTTATAAAAAAAATAAAATGTTTTGTATGCTATAAGACCTTATATCCACATCTAATATCAAGATAATAATCAAGTCATCATGTAGGTGGTTATTATTCACAGATATATCACCTGCTTTGTAAGGATTCTAACATTATGTCTTAGGTCAGCAACTGAGTTGATCTTTGTTACAAGTAAGTGGCCCCTATGAGAAGAACTTGCTTTGCTCTCTCAGCAGGAGACCTGCCTTTTCCCATTACACTTGTTACAGGTGCAAAAGTTCTCCCAAAAGTGTTTTTATTGCAATCACTGTAGAACCTTTCTCCTTTGATCACATTTAAAACTTCTCTTTTGAAGATGTGATTTGTTCTCTCCCATCCATTCCTCCTCTCCCATCATATACTTTCCGCTGGTCTTTTTTGTAGTTTTAGGTGGGTTTTTTTCTTATTATGTACTTACTAGGAATTAGTCAACAGTGCCCTTAGCACCTCGGTGGGGAGGTGCTTTATATATAATCAGGTACGAGTAGCACTTCTAACTTCATATGTAAAGAAAAAATTCTTACACTCTCAACCCATTAATTATTAATAATTAGTAATAAATTATTAATTAGTAATAAAAAATACTTAAGACCACAGAAACAGGCAAATTTTGATGCACAATACAACTATATATCATCACTGATCAGCATCTTTTGCACAGCAGCAGCCCTGCTTGTGACATGCAAGTGATCTAGCTGTTTTGGAAGCAAAGATGGGGTATGAGATCCACCAGGCTGCCTCTGTAATGTGCCTAATTCTTCCCCAATCACTGCAGCAGGAAAAGTATTAGTCACACTATGGCCTTTAAAACTCCAGGCATCTACCCTGAAGAACTCACTATTTTTGCACCTTCTATTTCACAGGAAGGCCAGCCATATGTTTGCACTGAAATACTTTTTAGTAGCATCTAGCCTCATTAGAGGAAGCACTGAAATTTGCCTGCTGCTAGGCAGTGACAGCACTTGCTCTCAGCCGAGACCAACTGGCATATCACAAACATGCTCCTGCTGGCTTGTTACAGGCACCTGGCTGCATGTTCCAACCAGTAGATCTGGGGAGGGAAGTGGGTTTCAACCAGAGCTCCTGCTTCCTTGACTAGTGCTGCACTCCCTCATTCAGTCTTTCTTACAGGAAAAATTAAGAGAATGAATATTTCCAATTCTACTGTTTCCTTGATGTAACCTTTGCAAAGGTAGGAAAGAACTGATTCTGTTAAGCAGTACAATAGCCATCTACTAATAATGAAAAAAAGAAAAAAGAGTGAGGAAAAGGTTATCTCCAGCTCGGTTTCATAACAGAGCAGGGGGATGGTTGAGGCAATGCATCCCAAAGGAAAGGTTATTTTTTAACTGAGAAAGATGGTCACCAGAAATAGTTTGTTAATCAAACAGTGATTCTCCACAACATCTAGCAGAGATGAAAACTAGTCAACTAGAAAGCATACATGTTGGCAAGGTGGGCAGAACCACTCTCCATCTGGGATTATCATCAATGGGGGTCGAAGGCAGGCTGTGTGGTATCCACTGTCACAAGAGTCACACAACAGAATCTGTGGAAACAAAGTAAAAGATTAGCAGCAGTTTGCACCTCTTGGCAGGTAACAAGTTCTAAAGCTATTTTCTAGGCAGTGTTGAAACAACTGCATAAATATTCTGATCCGTACAAACTTCAGAACCGCCAAAATCACTTATTTGTAGGGTTTTATGGAAAGATAAAACATGTCTTTTCATGGAACAGTTGATGTACCAGGATGTTCAGCCTTAACTCTGGATTGTTTATCACGTGTACAGACACAAACAAACCCTATCTGGATTGCCTAGAATCATAGGAGAACACAGAATTAGGAAGCTGTTAAAATGCATATTGATTTATCAGAGTAAACCCTAGATGCCTCTTTTCTATCAAACAGGAGATGGCAAAGTTGATGTGAATTGTGTGCACATCCACTGGAGTATGCAATTCATTCAAGGAGCTACTAAAGTGGTCTCAACCATGCTGGCATGTCTTCACATAACTAAAAGAACGCTTACTTTGTGGATTAATTGCATGAGTGACCATTATGATTTGCCGGATAAATATAAACGTTAAAGATGAGTGGCAAGTGTTGTTAAAGCAGAACTGTAGAAATTAGAGATAAAATGCTAGAGAGAATAGTCATCTATCTAGTCCTTTGTTCAATTTAGTGGTAAGCATCTCAAGCAATGGGGTTTTCAGCACTTCACTGAGCAGATAATGCCACTTCTAAAGAAACTCGATGTCAGGAAGTCTTCACAAATATTCAGGCTATACTTTTCTTATGAATTCCATTCCATTTAAAATATTGTAGTATTCAGCATCTTACAATATTGAAAAAATATAAAGGAAAACTCCAGTGATAAGTTATGATCCTTAAATAGTTAATTTACTGCATATGAACATATACTTATGCAACATAGATCTCTAGAACAGTTTTTAGGAAACACTTGTCACATTACCTTCACAAATGAGAATGGCCTCAGAGGAAGCTGCAAATGATGATGCGTCTCAGCAAGCACTCCAGACATATGATGCAGATTGAGACTAGGTTGCTGCTTCCACATGGAAGAGCAAGAACTTTCAAAGCTGAACATAGCAGTGGCTTTTCTGAAATTTTACCCCTTACTTTCCTTTCCTATCCACACAAATGGGTTCTCTGTTTCTCTCAAGTCCTACCCTGCATTCTCAGATACCCCATATTGCAGCTTCCTATTGAATTCATTCTTTGTTATATAGAAGACCCAGTTTTTGGTGAATTATTCAAGTAATCATCAGAGGATCATATACTGCCCTGGAGTTTTCCTTTAATGCATACGCACAGTAAACCCCATGTCATAAGAGTTAGAGAAAAAGTAATGACCTCTAAAAGAGCCACAGATTGTTGCCCCATGCCTTATTTAGGGGGCGGAAAGTAATCAAACCTTATTATTCCAAAGGACATACCCAGAATGTAAAACCCAATTTTTCATCACCAAACGGCATGGGGTTTTACATTCAAGATATGTCATAATTGTCTTATTTAAAATTTCATATAAAAGATGTTTTTAATGTTTAAATTCTGGGTCTGGACCTTTATGGGCCTGGACTTTATTACACATTAAATGGCACCAAGCTGGATGATTTCTGAACACTTGTTTTTTATACTGGGCTGCAAGTAGTTTTCAAACTACTTGATTGTGCACTTACTTCATAAATATCTGAACCGATTTTTAAAAATAAAGCAGAGTGAACCAGGTGAGAAGTCTGATGGTTTCTTTTTATTCAGTTTATGATGGAGAAAAAGTGTTCTGACTTCAGTCTGCAATTAAAGTGACTATTACATGCCAAAAAGCGACAGAGGAAAATTAAGGCTGTGAAGGCAAGTACTCAAAAGTTAGAAAATGCCAGAATTAGGGGTTGCCTAGGAAACTTTAATTTGCTACTCTTGTATTTATGATAAAGTCTTTAGTTATATATTTATTTTTCACAGGATCCCTGCCTCATTTGTTGCAGAACTTGGAAGGTGTGTAGTGAATGAGGAAGGGGACTACAGGAAGAGAAAGGATGATTTCATGGTTAAAGCTATATAAGTCTGTTGTAAAAAACTGGTTTCTAGCCCTGTCTCTGCCATAGAGTTCCTTTGTGATGCTCTGCAAGCCACTTCAACCCAACTTTTAACAGGCGGCCACTAACTGTGCGCTTCTCATCCTCGGCATGCCTAATTTGAGATCCTGGGTTCTGATTTGCAGACGTGACGAGTACTGACAGACACAATTGTGCTTTAAACACAAAGCACCATATAATGCTACATACTCTGAAAAATCAGGTGCTGAAGTTTGAAATTGGAAACCCAAAATTAGTGGACACTTTTGACCTTAAGTACTCTGTGCCTTAGCTCACCATCTATAAAATGGTGATAATAACAGCCCCTTTCCTAACAAGAGGGGTTTTGAAAATAAATGAACATTTGTGAAACACTCAGATATAATATAGTCTGAGTGCCATAGAAAGTCCATGAGGAAATTAATAATTCTGTTTTCCGAACAGGGTTTGAGTAGGATGCATATATTGAACAATGGAGGTTAAAACAAAATATTGAATAGCTGCTCATTAATTGAGCACCATCCATCCTGTACACTGAATGAGGTAAGGGGCCTGAGGAAAAATAATATATGATCATGCAATTAAGACTCTCCCATAATGCATATGTACAAAGGGGCTCAATTAAGATTGAATGGGAACCTTAATTTTGCCTTTTCCTAACTTCTGAGCGGCTTGACTTTGCAACCTTAATGTTTGTTTAGAATTGTCTGTGTGTGTGTGTGTGTGTGTGTGTGTGTGTGTATTTATTCATTTATATTACAGTAGTAGGGTTCAAAAAAGAACAAGATAAATTCATGGAGGTCCATCAATGGCTATTAGCCAGGATGGGCAAGATGGTGTCCCTAGCCTCTGTTTGCCAGAAGCTGGGAATGGGCGACGGGATGGATCACTTGATGATTACCTGTTCCGTTCATTCCCTCTGAAGCACCTGGCATTGGCCACTGTCAGAAGACAGGATACTGGGCTAGACGGACCTTTGGTCTGACCCACTATGCCCGTTCTTATGTTATGTTCTAGAACCTAGAGGCCTCAACCAAGTCAGATCTTCATAGTGCTATGTACAAACATAACAGAGTATACACTATAAAAGATGAGACATCCTAGGGGGTGAAACAAACTTGCACTCTTCCCTCTTGGTTCCAAGTAAATGGTCCCAATTCTCTGCCTGTGACATCAAAGGGATCAAAAACATCACACAATGAAGGTTAAAAGCTAGCTGTTGCCCAATAAGGAGGCCAGAGAATGATCTATTCCTGGGGGAATTCTGCACCACTGCGCACGCACAGAATTCATGTCCCATGCAGGTTTTTTTTTCCTCTGCAGAAAATACATTCTGCTGGAGAGGCTCTGCAGTTATGCCTTTTGCCACTAGAGGCTGCTATGACACCAGAACAGAGGGTGGCTGGCTCACCAGCTGCAGCAGTCAGCAGCTGATAGGGTGGAAGAGAGGCTGCATTCTTCACAGTGCCCTGCCCGCGGGGCTAGGGGAGGAGGCACAAGATACAGGGGGACAGAGTGGGGCACAAGGTGCTGCTGGGGTGGTCTCAGAATGGGGTTCAAAAGGGCCAGTGGATGGAGACAGACTAGGGCAGGGGCTGAATGGGAGTAGGGATGCAAGGCCAGATGGGGGTACAGGGACACATGGGGATGGGGAGGAGGTGTGGCTGAGTGGGGGTGCAGGGACACATGGGGACACAGATGACCCATACCTGCTGATAGGCCACAACCCCAGAACAGCTCAAGCCACTCACTCCCCAGGTAGCCCCCCTTTCAGGAAAGCTGGACCCCGCCCGTCCCAGAAAGCAGCGGCCCCTCTCTGCAGCTCCTAGTTATTCCTCCTGCTTTCCCCATCAGAGTTAAAGCAGCAGCCCCTCCCCACAGCTTCCAGGGGTTTCTCCTGCCTCTCTCTGCCTGGCACAGCTCGCCAGCTCAGCTGCTCCACAGGGAGGGAGCCTGGCCACACCATGTGGCTGAGCAATCGGGGCGAGGGGGAGGGGAAGAGAGGGTGGCATGTGCATGCCCTTCCTCCCTCCCCCCATGCATCACCTCTGCATGGGGACAGGGGCAGATGTGCCTGACTGAATGGGAGAGACTAGGGTTAGATAGGGTCTGCATGGGGGAGGCTCCCCAACTCCATAACACTCTCCTCCCGCACAACAACCCCCCAGATTCTCTCCCAGGGTCCTTCCCAGCAATTACTTCCCTCTCCTTCAGGTCCTCCATTATCCCTGACTCCCCTAAGCCTTTGTATTACTTCTGAGGGGTGCGGGAAATATGTTTCTATATTGTAGTTTAAATGAATTATTACTCAAAGTTCTGTATTAATATGACTTGTAAGAAATCTATTTGTCAAAAAAACATTTCCTGAATCTTTTTTGTTGTCTGTATTGTTACACACACACTTATTGACAGGTATTTTGAAATAAATCACCAAACTAATTGAAACTGGCATGATTATACTGTATTATTTTGACAAATAACATATGCAGGATTTTAAAATATTGTGTGCAGAATTTGAGGTTTTTGGCGCAGAATTGCTCCAGGAATAATGATCTGTCTCATACATACACCCTCCCTTTTCCCAACATGAGACTCAGAACTGGTAGAAGGAAGGGAGAGAGAGTAAATGTTGGGGAAGGCTGAAGTGATCAAGCTGGATTCTGAATCCTGCCTCCTCCTCCTCAGGCCACCATCATGTCAGTCAGCAAGATTCAGACTGGAAGCAGACAGGACAAGCGATATGAGGGGGGCCATGCTGGAATTTCATCTTAGCCCCAAGCCATCAGGGCATACCCACAGCATTAAAAGCCTGTTTCTATTAAGATGAATAGTGGACATATTGTAGTCTTATCCATGTCCCCTTACTGTTACCACCTATTAAACCTGCCCCATCGCTTTTCCCAGGGAGGGATTGTTTATCATAAAATACCATTCATCTCTCAGAAGAAAGCTGTCTCATGGCAGAAATAGCTATGTTTTACACATTACTAGTCTAAAAAATCATCACTTTCAGGGTGATTAATGGAAGTTTTTTCCCATCACACTATTTTGTAGATCAAGAACATACTAGCTCAGGGTGATTGGGAAGGCCACACTTCTTGCATGGTTCATCATCATCAGCAGGTGCAGGTTCCTCTTCTTCCTCTCCCCCCTCAGATTCCTCCTCAGAGTTTTCTTCGGTCTCAGACTCCTCACTGTCTTCATTACTTGAATATCTCCACCTGCCACGAGTTCGAGTTCCTGTCCACCGCACTTTGCTTCTCTGTGTGACCTAGTGGTCCAAAGATAAAACACAGCAAAAGGCTCTTACATTGCCTCGTCATACACGGTGGGTTTTCCAAGTTAAAAAGACCATCACACTTAAGTTTGAGTAAATGTTCTCTAAAATGAACTGATTCATTTCAATCAGAACAGCTACAGGAAAATGTAGCATGATCATAGAATACCAGGGTTGGAAGGGACCTCAGGAGGTCATCTAGTCCAACCCCCTACTCAAAGCAGGACCAATCCCTAGACAGATTTTTGTCCCAGATCCCTAAATGGCCCCCTCAAGGATTGAACTCACAACCTTGGGTTTAGCAGGCCAATGCTCAAACCACTGAGCTATCCCTCCCCCCGATAGAGCAGCTTCAATGAGTAGATCTTTCATTGAGTACAAAAATCCTTACAGAACTAATTACAACTAAAGGAAAAAAGGAAATTAAAAGGTATAGGCAAAGAAAATGCTTCAGGTGAGGTTTAAAAGACGTGAAGACGAAGCTTTAGAATGTGACTCCACTCCTTTGTTGAGCTATCAAAATCTAAAATTTCTACTTTGACAAGGTAATTTTGCATAGTGAACATGAGAACTTTAACACGTAAACTTTTCCCCTCCAGAGTACAATTAACCTTATTTTAAAGCTGCCTTTCCTCAATCCAAAGAGAATATATTTTTATCATTGCTTCCTTTTAGAAAAACAAATTACAGAATTTGCATCTGAAGAAGTGAGGTTCTTACCCACGAAAGCTTATGCTCCCAATACTTCTGTTAGTCTCAAAAGTGCCACAGGACCTTCTGTTGCTTTTTACAGATTCAGACTAACACGACTACCCCTCTGATAAATTACAGAATGTGACTTTTATTTTACTTTTAGAATCATCATATTGTAAGAGATAAATTGCTGTTATCGTTAAGTGTTCTCTCTGCCTGTGGGGTTGGAGGAGGAAGATGTCTGGGAGGACTGTGTGCATGTGTGTGTTCTATACAAGGAAACCAGGCCCCAAATTCTCTATTATATTAATTTTTGCATCTCACTACACATATTTAGATCATTAAGTCTTTCAAAAACTATGTCCATTTAAGACCATACTTGTTTCAATTTTAACATTGTTACTTGTAGCACCTATTATTACCAGAACTGAAAGATGAAAAAAATCTCAGTAATTTGCAGTTTATGTAAGGCATTTGACAGCACTTGCTATATAACAGTTTCACCTGTCCCCTATAAGGTCAATTTCTCATTTTGTTTGTGAAGGTTATTCACACTGCAACAGAAGAGAGAAAAAAATTTTTTTAAATAGAGAAAAAGGTGTTTGTAGAACTACGAAAGCTAGTAAGGGGATTCAGAACAGGAATAGCACCTGAAAAAAACTAGTTATTCATTTTTGAAATTAACTAGATGTCCTTTTACCAAGGACACTTTTAAAAAGAAAAATATTGCCTCTATCTTCCTGTTTTTTAAATGTATTTTAATTAGCTTTTCAGGAAGGCATACAGGTCAAAAAGAAAATAGTCACAGCATGGCTAATAGCAGGCTGTACATGTCTTCTACCTGCAAGCTCACTATCATTTCTACTCTATAAAAACTTTAAAACTGTGCCTGAAAGATAAACTTCTCATGCAAAACACACTTTCTGAACCCAACATAAAACCTACATTCAGCCTAGATGAGAAATTCCCTCATAATCCCTCTAAAAGTGGTTCAGCTACTCTCAAGAACAAAACTCCTGTTAAATTCTACATATCATTACTACTTTACTCTAACATTTTTCCTATTGCCATCTATCCGCCATCATCATCAAATTGACCAAGCATCAGCATATACATCACACAGTTAATCTTCAGCATCTTATTCATGGTTAAAGCATCCGACCTATAGGATTTAAAGCATCCTGAAGGTTTGATTAATAAGGATAAGCTCCTCTAGAAAATAAAATAATTTGCACGAGTTATTCTAAAACCAGGTTCAACGTAAGAATTCTGACACTTACAAATCATGATGTTAATAGCTATTAGCACTCTCCTGGGGGCTGTTTTCAGATCAATCACTGCCCTAACCAAGTTACTGGACTAGTAACATGCATAAATTGACCATAATGGCATCAGAGGGTCCTGTGGCACCTCTAAGACTAACAAGTATTGGAGCATAAGCTTTCGTGGGTGAATGCCCACTTCATCTTGCGTCTGATGAAGTGGGCATTCACCCACG